AATATAACTAGGACTCTCTTCATTATTGTAAAATTAAAAGTTATTTAAATGTTACTAAAATATATAAGTACGAAAATAAAGTAAATCCAATAAGATTAGATAGTAATAAATTAGATGGACATAAAATTTGTGGTAAAACATTATGATTGCATACAAAAATAGCCAAAACGAAAAACAAGTTAAAATGAAAAAATCTCATAGTCTTGTCAAACTTCCATAACTGTGATTTTTTTTGTACACTAAAAATTTCGGAGGTTCGTTGTTCAGTAGTTCAAATACGCATGTATCACCCATTTCTAATTCCCTCATGGAGAGAAAATGTGTCCATCCTATAGTGAAACATCGTACCACACCATTTGGCCTTAAATTTGTGGTCATATCCCAATTTTGGTGTAAAAAGTTGTCAATTTTAACACTATGCACGAATTTTGGCAAATGTTGGCTGGCAAATCTTCCCGGTATATACTGCAATGCCATGAGTGAATTATTAGTCTTGAGGTCATAATTATAGATTTAGTACAACTATAGAATGAAAATATTTATTCAAAAGGAAAATTACAATTTTTCGATGGCCATATTTACTGGGTGTTAACTTTACTTCGAATACAGGATTATCCATATTCGAATTGTTGCTTTCTTCACCTTCTTCGGAGACGTCCGACTCATATTTCACTTCTAGCTCAGAATCATCCATTATGATCACGTTAAATGTCCAATTTTCGGTATATTCAAATATTAGGCAATAACCATCGTGTAAATTGTGATGATCGAAAAATTGCTCGCATCCATTAGTTAAATAAAATTTCTCATTAACTGTTTCTAATTTTATTTTCGCAATTATACCATCGTACTCAATTACACGTACTGTATCACCGAATTCATGTCTCCAATCTTTCACAAACGCTCTAGGAATCATCCATAAACAAATATATATGGACGAAAACTATAAGTAAAATATGAGAAAAATTCATTCCATCCAAAAAATAATAATATTGTATGACTAACCAGATTGATGCCGTGATTGAGGGAATTACTGATAGTTATGTAAAAACGACGTGGAACATCCATTTTGAAGCACTGCAGTAGTACAATTTTTACAGCGATAATATGTGCATATTTTTTTCATATGAATGATTGAAAAAGTTTTTATAACATTTTAATGAAAGGAATAAGAGATTGTGTGCATCTGTAAATTTTTTCGTACAAATCAATCGATGTTCGAATAAGTTATAACTTAAAACTATAGAATTAAAATATAAGACGTAAAATATAAGAGGGTAAATAGATAAAGACCTGTTTCAATGAAGCAGAAACAATTCTGGAGTAAGATATGCAAATTTGGAAGGCTAAAAATTCTTGTAAGTAAATATTGAAAACACATAATTATATAGGCTAGAAAAATGTACTTTTCGTTCTTATTCATTTAGCCCCCTGTGAAAATATTATTTGCCTCATTTTGAAAGAGGACAATTTATTTGCCACATTTTAAAAGAGGACGGATCCCATGTGCCATACATGTACTCTTATTGTTACATAGAATAATCCAGTGCACTATTTTTCACATACATTTACATTATTCAACCTTTTTTTTCGTGGGGGTCCATTTCCCTTTTTCAAAGCCAACTTTTGGCCGAGAACAAAGAAATCTCTTATTTTTTTACTACATGGGACAAAGAAGGGGGTAAGATCATAATTCTATGCTGCATTAATGACTACACCCTCCACTGACACGGCAACAATGTCTGAATTACATGACTCAAAGGCTGTAGATCTCATTGAATTTCACGAAAACGTGTTATAATGCCAAAATATATGTTCAGAAATCAAACAAAGATGGGGCGATCTTGGTCAATAAAGAGGGTCGATTTGACAAGAAGTACTAAAAATAGATAAATTCTTATTAAAACAGGTTCACGAGTTACAAAAGTAGATGAATTATATTATTGAAAATAACTATTCTCGTTCTTTAAAAAAAATACAAGAAAAAAAAATTTATTGAGATTTTTTCTTTTTTTACATAATATAAGTTCTTTTTACGATTATACATTTTCGTTTTTACTTTATTTACTTCCAAATTATTTTTGAAACTCTAGATATATTAATCTGTTTATTAAAATATAGTTTCAATAACAATATATATTTCAATATTCATACTGAAAGAAGTCTAGAGATAAAATTAAATAGCGAAAATTTAGGGTAATTGGCACAAAACATTCATATCGTTTGCATTCATTGTGAAATCGTCCCTATCGTTTTAAATTTAGCATTTACAACCCTCTTTCAACCTTTTTTTGCGAAGTTGGTCCTTTCTATTCATTTCATTTGTTCCTTCTGTTAAATAAACACGTGGATTGCATTTAAATCAAATGAAAAGGGTATAAAAGTCAAAGCACCATTTTTTTAATTTAATGAGTGGACGTGAAGGCTGGAAGAGAGAGAGAATAGAAAAGAAAAAATTACCTGAAAAAAGAATATATTAATTTCAAAAGACACAAAGTGTAAATAAAAAAAATTACCTGAATTTTATTTTGTATACGAAACTGTGTTTGTGCAAAGTATGTTGAAAACAAACAACAAATTCTATACTATCTAAATTCATATGAAAATAAATATTTGTGAAAATTCTGTGTTTAATTCTTCTTTTTTATTCAATTTTTTTTTTATATTATCTAAAGTCATTGAAGTGATGTATCTTCTTTTTTATTCATTTTTTTGTTATTAATACTTTATTCAAAATATTCTATTTGCAAAATGAAATATATCTGAATATTTACTTACAAATATTTATATTCAATTTTTTACTGTAAGTATCTTTTACAATTATAAGTTTTTTTTTTTAACTTTTAAATAAACTGAAATAATTTCTTTCTTATAAGTCACTCTTTACATTGGAGATAGTGTAATTTTCTTATCACTATTTAATTTAAAAAATAAAATATATTTAAATATTTATACTTCAGAAATATAACGTTCAATTTTTTTTACTTATAAGTAATTTTTTACAAGTATAAGCTAAAAACAATTATCAGAATTTATACTATTTTAAAATTTTGATTTCAAAAAAAGAAGAATACGTAAATATTTATATTTAATTAAATAAATGAAATACATTCGAATATTTAACCTGTACATAGCCTTTACAAAAAAAAAATTCATTTTTTCTTCAAAATAACTTTATGTGAATTTTATACTTATAAGTATTTTTACGTTTTATAAATAAATTTAATTTCGTTATTAGTATTTTTTGTTTTTCATAATCTTGTTTGAAAAACGAAATTACTTTTTTAGTTATAAAAAAGTTTTAATATTTTAAAAATAAAGAATCGCTTTCCTAAAAAGTTTTTTACAAAAATCTTATTACTAATTTTATATAATCTAATTCAAAGTTGATAATATGAAAAATGGAGAAAAAGTACACGTTCAACTGTTTTCGAGTTGAGCTTGCCAACAGCCAATTAATCATACGCCATTTCAGTGTGTTGTCATCTCCACTATCCATCACTTTGAATTTAGTGTACTGTCATCTCCGACTTGCATTTCCTTGTCCATTAGTTTGAATCTGACACACAATCTTTCTTCTCTACTTTTTCAAGCTATCAACTATCAAACATTTATTGCAGTAGAGAAAATATGTATTTAAATCATTTCTCTTCTTACAAAGAAATTAATTCTCTATTTCTATCTAATATATTAAAAGTTACGTGTAACTAAAAAAACACAACTAATAATAAGATTAATTTAATTTATAAAATGTACAAAAATAGCCTATAGACCGATTTTTGTTTCCTTTATTTCATTAAGATTAAAAAAAATTAAAATTCTCAAAGCAACATATAGGTCAAAAAATAATTTAGTGTCATGTCATTTTGATTTTTATGTAATTTTAACAGTTTATTTTCATTTCCTTTCATAATTTCAACATGAATGTTAGGGATTCTGAACATATCCAATAGTGGCTAAAAAAATTACATAACACTTGAATAAAATACATTTTTTACAGTGATTAAATGACGACATTCAATTACTCTATTACAATTACGAAGACAGACGTGGATAAAGTAAATATTCATTACTAAAAATATCAACGGCAATTTTTCGTCTATATATAACCATCCTGTCTGGTGAAACCGATTCTATCGAAAATCCTAGAACAAAGCATTCTATATATTAAAGCACGAAAACTCCATAGTTCGGCCTGTAATAATTTTTTTTTTTTTTTGTAATTAGTACTTACGAATAAATATCTATTATATTAAACAGGAATTATTTTCGATGCTTACCCGTTGTTTGCACAGGGTAGATATGGTATAATTTCTAGCTTCATTTCTTTATTTCTATGTTTGCTTATATCCCGTCTCTCTGCAAAATCTTTGTCGAACAGTAAAGAATTAATCACGTTAACTGTCACGTTTGCATGTGCCTTTACTTGATCCGGTGTATGCTCGTTGTGGCTGCAATCGTATATCTGGAATTTCCACTTTGGAATATTGACCAAAAAAGGTACGAAGTATTTTCGGGAAATGAACATGGAATTAATAAGTACTTACACTCTACCCATGGACGGCTCTCTACAGACATTTTGTCGTTCACATATTTGTTCAGAAGAGTTCCATCTGGTTTACCTTCTTTATTTCCCGCCTAAAAATCCCTTTGCCAAATCATCATATTGGCACACTCATTTTCAAATTGGAAGTCCATGATTTCATATTCTTTAGACACACGGGTGCAACCATTAATAATTAATCGTCTCAACAACTTCAGCACCAATTCAATTGCCTGGTGGAATATATTGATAAAAATCAAATATGTTAAGTATGAAATAAAATTATTTTTTATGAATAAGCAGTACTGACCACAATATTTATATCTTTTGTTTTATCCAATAAAGTTTTCAACCAATCTCTTCCATAGACGTTCCCAATGGCATCTTCCAAATATGCACTGCATAACATAATTAAAATTAGAGTTGAATAAATCAAAATAAAATTGTAGTATTTAAACCAATAATAAAAAAATCATCTTTCTAACATTGATTCGTTCTCCGCTATCCAGTTTCTAAGAGTCGAGTATTTTTGTATAGAATAGTCTTCCAAAGAACGTCTTCTAGACGACAAATATTGTATTTGTTTTCCCTTAATTTTCTTCTCTCGTTGTGATGATTCAGAACTTTCAACTTGTTGAGACGTTGATGCATCCTTCGGTCGATCATCGAGAATTGGACATGTACCGATAGGAATGTCTTCTTGCGTACAACTAATAATGGCTTCCATGTCTGATTTTCATTCAGATAATTTCTGCAGCGTATTCTTATTTTGTTCATCGACATAATATCGCATGGAATCTAAACTGGTATCTACATAAGAGTGCATGGTCTGATAATGGTCTTCTTGCCATTTTTGTTGTTGTTGGAATAATTGTTCCTCTTTCTCCAAATGTGTGTTAAAAAAACTTGATAATGAATTATCCATGTAGGAATGCATATAATCCTCCTACCATTTTTGGTGCTGTTCGAATAACTGTCTTTGATTGTCATAAACTTCTGTTCTCAAGTTGCCACATATATCAAACACCTCTTTTATGATGTCTTGCTTCTGGACACCAAGTAGTTTTATCATCCGGTCTTCAGTTTACATAATTAGAACTGCTAGATCCAAAATTAGGCCCTGCTACTCGTGAAGTTCTTGACGTACTAGGAATGGTCGTCCTTGGCACATATATATTGTCCCTTTCTTGCTCAAAAGTATCACCTGGGATTTGTTGTGCCACATTGTCTAATTCTCCACCGACGATGTCATCTAATACACGATGTTCATTATCAGCTAGCAATGAAATATTTATATACCAAAATGTCTCTAATTCTTCCTCCGTAGGATGTAACGTTGAAATAACCTGAATCTGTAATTTTAATAAATTATCAAAATATTTTTTTCATTTTGTTTTTAAATAACTAAACACAAATGTAGTTATATATTCATTAAAAGAAATCGTACCTCTGGAGTAGCCAAAAAATGCTTAATCATTTTTTAAGTCAGCAGTTTATTAGAACTCCACTTATACATTCATGGACTCTGTGCTATTTTGTATCGACGCCATCCAAATTTTTTTCCAATTTCTGGAAATGCCTCATAAATCCAATACTGTATCGCAATTACAAATTACAATTACTTTTCTCTTACAAATAAATGAAGTCAACAAAAAAATATTAATAAAATACCTGAAATGCAAGTGGATACCCTCGTAATGCATACTTACAATCTATTTGTTTGTTCCGTTGCACTCTTTTCGCTCTTTGTAATTGTGATTCTTGTAGTGAATTTAACAAAATAAAAAATCTTTTTGAACCCCAAGGATATCCAAGAAATTCATCAAGATGCTCGACCATACCAAGAGTTTTGTAATCAATAATTCTTCCAACTGATTTTATAACACATTCCACCAACATAACTAATCCCAACTTAAATTTATCTACTAAGTATTCACATTCATGGAAAACTTCAAATAGCATTTTCATGCTAATTTTTTGACTACCATTGAAATAATGATTTCTAAGACGATTGTTGCTATGATCAATCTCCATAACCGGTTCATGATAAGGTAATCCAGTGATAAGACAAAATTCTTGCATACCAAATCTAGCAATACGATCATGTAATTTTACCCATACTTCGTTATTTTTACCACAGTCAACAAGCCGCATTACGAATTCATGTATTAATCCACTACTAAATAGCTCTTCCTCTTCTCTATAAATAATTCCAGAAAAAAATCTATAAAAATTACTACACATTATAGAATATTGTTGATTTGTATCTATAAAATCTATAAAGTCTTTAAGATATTCTCGACTTTGATATTGAGTAATAGTAGCAGAAAATCATTGATTTGGAGACAGTATATATTCCAAAGACATCTGCATAAATAATTTGAAAATAAACTATTTGTAAACAAATTTAACAATTCTAAACAAGTAGCGAAATAATATTTATACAAATTCAAAAATACATGAACAGCAGAAAAAATACAAATTCAAAAACCTCCCCCCTTTCGAACCTCCGTGCATGGAGGTTGTGACCTCCGTGCACCTGACCCTCTTAAATGAAAGCCCCTCCTTTAACACCCCCCCCCCCCGGTCCCCCCCCCCCCCCCCCCCAACTTTAAAATTTCACTTGTATAAATATGAAAATAAAAATCTAAATACTTACCTTTTGCTATGGATGTGCTTGCTGAAATATGATTGGCTTTGATATTAGGTAGAGAATGAAGATTTTGTGATATAAAAGAAATGATATGGATAAGGATAAGATATAAATGATATGTGTGGTAGTAAAAAGTCTTCTAAAAAAAATGTCTTTTTCCACTATTTATTATACATTTACGTATTTTTCGACAAATAAATATAAAATGTAAATATTTCTTCCGATATTATTTGAACTAAATCTTATCTTCATTCATTAAAATAATTGAAAATTATTTCTATATTATAAGTACAACTTCACTTCTCCATGCTATATATTAAACGTCTGCCGTAGTCCTCATATGTTTGCCTATTCCAAACTGTCACGTTTTCAAATTTTAATAAAATAAAATAATAAAAACTAATAAAATAATCTTATATTCCATTACAGCGATATCTTTGTACTCTAAATAAAATTTGAAAGTAATCTCCATATCTTATGCCAGTGATTATACAGTAACGTATGGCTATTTAGATAATAAGGTATGACTATTGATGAGATTTTACAATGTAAATTATTTTATTTGTTTTAACCATAAAAAAAAATTTCATATTCAGTCTTTCCTTTTTTTAGTTTATTTATCTCATCTATGCTTCATTTTTTACAACTGACACATGAACACATAAATACTTTAACAACGTCCTTCCAACATCGTATACCCAACATTAAAATATTTATTAAATCACTATGTCTCAATTTATTTTTTATAAATAGGGTAACACAAACTTCAATTTCAAATCTACGACTGCAAAAATACAAAAATTATCGTTAACATTTAGAGCTTCCATACTCTAAGAAATTCTAACTTCTACTCATACCGTCTTCTTCTTCTTCTTCTTCCTACATATCAACAATTGCTATAACAAAATGGCTGCACCCATAAATTCATTCCACAAATTTCAGCTTCAGAAACCAATTGGTCAGCAAAAGTGATCGTCGTAGGAAAACAATCCCCAAAGACTACTCGGAATCAAAATCTTACTCTCATAGATTTAGATGTACAAATATAACTATCGTTTCAATAAATTTTTACCAATCATTATACCTATATACTTTCTAAATGTTCTCATCTTTTTCTTTTTCTTTTTGAACGGGGAAACAAAATCACAGCAACAATGTATGATGCCGATATCACTGCATTAAACGATCAATTCGAACTTGGAAAAACATACATTGTGTCAAATACAACAGTTAAAGATTTCAAAAGTGAATTTCGGAGTTCTCCTTGACAAAAGATGTGAAATATAACAGGAAGAACAAATGTTGAAGAATTAAATGAAGACAATTTGAATCTCATGTTCTCAAAATTTCAACTTACTGCGTTTGATCAACTAGAGAGGCATATGGAACAAATACAGACATAAGTAAGATTTCTACCGCATTACATTTAAAAAAATTATTTCATATAACATTTCATAAACTATTTTTTACGTACAAATTTATTGCAAGCAAAATGACATATAAAATATTTCATAATTAATTTTTACGTTCAAAGTTATTGTATGCAAAATAACATATAAAACAATTTACGTAACCTTGTAGGCGTGATGGGTGTCGCTATAGGTATTCGACAGAAACGTCTTATTCAAACTAACTTTGGTACAGAAACTTATCTACAAGATGTAGTCTTAATAGATAAAGAATTCAAAACTGTTATACTAACATTATGGGATACCTTTGTCGAAAGAGAATGCACTTTGATAATTGAACATCTTCCAAATAGACTCATGATATGGGCTACAAATCTCAAAGTTTATTCGTTCAACGATAAATTTCTCTTACAAATACGGTTCCATCTATAATATTATTATTTTTTCACGTAAGATATTTTTAATTTCTTTTGTACAGGCATCACACTTTCGAACAAAGTAAATAGCAGTTTTTTCATTAATGTCCAACTACATGCTGTCGCGGAGTACAAAGAATGGTAATACAACATACCTAATATACATATTGCTTATTTACGTACCTTTAATATAAAAAAACAAATGTTCTATTTTATAACTAAATATATCGTTAGTTCTTGTAGGGTGGAAGCTAACAAGGAAGCGCTTGACAAACTGATGGAAAATAAACCTTTTATTGCTGTCAGTCCACCCTAACTTTCTCCTCCTACTGATAATGAATTTACACCGATTGAGGATTTATTAGGGTGTATCTAACGGTACTTCTAATATAAACTGAATATAATTAATAGAAACACATTATCTTTAATTTCACAATAAATATTATAGTAACATTTCTCAATCGTATCCTTTTATCTAATTAAATGAGACATCTCCTTTAACAGAAAAAATTCTACTGGGTGAATGCATGCTAAAAAATAGCTTCAAAAGACCAAAAATTTTGGTACATGTCTTGTAACAACTACAAGAAAACTTCCAACGCGAACTTTGGAGAAATTCATAAATGTCGATTCTGCAAGTACGAACACTCAAAAGCTATCCCAAGGTAATTTCTTCTATTAAATATAAGTTCAAAAATTTACTAATTATTACTTCAGGAACAAAGTACATAATACATGGCTAAAAAAAATGCATTCTTTAGGGTAAATGCTTTTGTACTACTTGAAGACAAATTCGGTTCGTTAGATGCTACCATCATAGGAGATGCAACAGAAGTGTTACTGGAAAGTAGCGCCAATGACTTAATGAACCATCTTCAGAAGGTACAACATCATATTCAACATCATTCGAAAATACTTTCTTTCTTAACAACAAACATGTCACTCTATTGAAATATATTTCGTCGACCACAGGAAGGCATTAAAGAACTCAATGACGTTGTCAAATTGGAAAGTGATACAGAGCTACTCTTTTACCTCAAGGCAACGAAAAAGCTCCACGACCCACCTGAGTACCGCTTTGAAATCATATTTGTGTTCAACTCCTCCACGGTAAATCAAGTTGATTCCTCAATTGTTACAGAAAATGCAAACAAGCAAATTGAAATGGAAAAAATTTCCAACAACAAAGACGTAAAAGGCAAGAACAAGATGTCCGGACGACCCGATGACATTTCCATCGCTATTGAATAAATCAATCCACCGCATGCAAAAATGCCTCTCTTCCAACCCTCAGATGTACCTATTGAAGCAAAGTCAAAACCCAAAAAAAGGGCTCACACAGGCTCCAAAATAGATGATCGAATTATTGGGATCACCTCAAAAGAAAAACATAAATGAATAACATGTATGATACTTTTGCGACTATTTTGTGACAGTAGACATTAATCAATGTTCTATTTTGTATATCTGAAAAAAGTAACATGATTTGTCTATATCTTTGTCTATGTACAAGACTTCAGATTCCACCGAATAGCAATAAATTACTACTCTTGAAATATAAAGTTTGTTGTACGCATCTTACTTTCCTTTTTCTCCTTTCCATTGCAAATATAGTGAAATATTACTATGTTAAATCAATCCATTTCAAAATTAATATCATAGCTTACATCCAATAATTATGTTTTTAACTAATGAATTCACTTTTTCTTTAAACAGTAAACTGATATCAATATTGAAAACTAAACAATTTTCAACATTAAAAACGCTAATATAACATTCAACAGAATCCCGCCCGTGCAATAGACTAGTATTAGTTACAAATCATAAATTTTATAAGTCATAATTTATTTTATGATCACAAATATATCAAATTAATAGGTCATGAATTATTTTTTGGTCACTACTTAATCAATTGTGAGTCATTATCACATTTTTTAAGTTATATATTATTTAATGGTCACAAATTAACCAAATTATTAGTTGCAATAAACCAATAATTGATCACAAACACCATCACCCGCTCACCCATGAGCAACATAATCACCAACTCATGAGCCTCACCAACATCATCACCACCTCACCGTCGTAGCCAAAAACACAACCCCCTCTCGAAACAACCAAAAAATTAGATCCAAAATAATTAGTCACTGCTACGACCACCACCATCACCAATTCACAACCACGACTATCGCCACCACCATCTCACCATAACCATCACGGTCGCCACCACCACTACTATTATCTGTAACCAAAATCACAACTAACATCTCCTCTATCTTCATTTCCACCATATCACAACCATCACCCCTACTAAAAAAATCTCCAAATTGTCGCCACCACAACATCCACAAATCCACAGCAGACCAACCACCAGACTTCCACAAATCCACCAAACCACAATTGCGGTGTTGCATACCAATATACTGCCCTTTGTGAACACAACTCCAAGAAGAAGTAAATGGCGAGGCTTTTAGGATTCGACGGTGAGTTTTTTAGGCAGAGAGACGAGTGAACGACAGTCCCAGTTCGATATGCGTGGTGCTTTCGCCTGAGAGAGGATGGAGAAAGGGAAGAGAGGGAAAGAAAGAGAGGAGATTTTTGGGTTGGAATTGGGTGGGAGTGAGGGTTTTAGTGGGTAGGGGTTGTGGATTTTTCTTATTTTTCTTATTTATTATTAATATTTAAATAAGTATTATCATATGATTTTTGAACAAAAAAAATTTAATCCTAACTTTGAATTAGGAACTTAAAAATTGGGGACGGCTATAATTTTCACTTTAATTCATACTAAGTCCCTATTCTTCATCAATTTCAAAATGCATTTTTTCTCTATTTTTAAGCCATACATTCTTTAATAAAATAATAGTATACGCAAATTCAATTTTTTTCCTTTTTTAAACTACACATTTTTCAAAAAATCACTATTATAAAATACATTTTTTCCAAAAGCTAATTATAATTTAGTTGGTACTGCTGCTTC